CAAAAGTAAAAAGCCTGATTTCGCGCCCCCCATGCAATAATTTTGCAAGGCCCCAGGCGTCTAGAACTCAGGCCTACAGATCTCCCAGGCAGCTGACATCTCCAGGCTGCCACACAACAGCAGCTGGAACCAACTTGCACTCCACTTCCCATGACCCACTGTGGACACAGACCAGTTCCAACTCAAGGGTTAGAAAGACAGCAGCCCCATGGCTCCTGATTGACTGCCTGTCCTATATAAACCCAAGGGGCATTCCAGAAAGTGTCCAGGCAACAGCGCGGATCTTCTGTAGTTGCCACGACCATTCCAGCTCTTTGCTCCTGAATTCTTGGCTTGACCTCGGCTTGATTTGGACTTCAGATTCTGACCTTTGGTATTAACCCTGGCCTGGATCGGACTACGAACTCCATGGCTACTCCTAGCTTCAGGTTTGCCCCTGCTCTGACCTTTGACCCTGACTGCCCTTGTTAGACTCTTGACAATCTGAGGTGATGTTTGCAAAAATAGCAATTAAAAAATTTCTGCAAGAAATGTGATTCAGCTCAGCTGAGTGACCAACAACAAACTCAGAGCACTGTTTCTTTTATCATAAACTCATTTATAAACCCAACCAAAAATGCAGAGATCTGATGTTTAGAACTAACTAACTTAAATGATTGTATCTTTAAGCAGTGCTGGACAAATTCCAGTGTATTTTGAGAACATATTAAAATATACTGTTATTGCTGCATTCTTGCCTTCAGATGCAGTTAAGTTTTATAACACAGAATTCTGTCATCTCACTAATCAAATTCCCCTTGTTGAGAGCCATCCTGCTTACTATTCACATTGGAGAAACAATACACAAAAAAGAAATAACTATTATTCCTTCACTGGTTTTAAGGCCTACTCTCAAGTGACTAAGTGCTTTTCTTTCAATTAGACAAGAAAAAACATCACAATAATCAAATAAATCTGTCAGAGTACAGTACAAAGATTCTACTGTATATTCAATTTAATTCCAACAGTCATTAAATTCTAGAAAACTGCACTCAAGCTATAAACTGCAGCAACTTAGACAGAGGACATAACATTAATGGGATATTGCTACATTCAAATAGGAAATGAAAATAAAGGCAAGGGACTATATAAACAGACACCAAATGACTGCCGAGTTCTGCTGGGACTCAGCAGTTGGGGGGGGGGGGAGGGGTGAACGGGAATTCCCTAGCTGTTGGAGATGAAGATGAAGACAAGTCTCCCCACTTTCAGCACAAGGCTAAGACCCACCTGTGTTTGGGTCTTTTCCCTAACAATGGAGTTACAGAATTGGTCGCCTGGAAGATAAAGACCAAAATAATCCTATTAGGCATTATGGATGTAAAATATTAAATGGTTAAACAGTTAACCAATATGTATTGATCTTACCATTAATATATTGCAGTTGAAGTTTAAAACAGATAGGTAAAATAATTTCATGACATTGTAGATGGTTCTGAGCGTGATCAGCTAAGCAGCAAAGTCTCCAGCACTGTATAATTACTCTGCACCCACCAGGAAGCTGTCCCTCCGCTCCTGCCCCTGCACAGTGCTGTTGTGGTGCAGTCTGGTCTCCCGGTCCAGACGTGCGGTGAATGCCGGTCTCTCGGCAGTCAGAGCGGAGTCGGTGGCCATGCGAGCAATTTCTACCTGTGCTACTATGTGAGGCACAAGGAGAAATTTGGCCACAAGTTCCTGGAGTTTGAGTTCCGGCCGGATGGTGAGGCCTGAGGGGGAGCTTGGTTGCTTGTCAGAAGCAGAACTGGGTATATAACATTTTTATTTGTAAGCTGAAAGGTCCACTAGTGGATTCAGACTGAGCTGGGCAGGGGGGCAAAGCACATTGGCTTAATGGTGAAGGGCGTGAGGATGGCACATGGTTGCAGGGCTCATAGGGGCAAACATACTGAGAGGCCTATGGGACAGGAGGGGCTGGCATGCAATGGCTATTATGTGAAATGTACAGGAGAAGGGCAAGATGTGCGTGCGGACCAGAGGAGAGACAGCAGGGTAATCCCCCAAGCCAGGGGTAGATTGTGAACTTGTTAACAATTAAACGGTTAATCGATATAATTTTAATAGCTTAAATGGGTATTTTTTAAAATGGTATTTACATCCCTATTAGGCATAGTGGCTAAAACAAAGGCGTAATAGAGATTGTGTCTTCTTTCAGGGCAAAATAGGAGGGGATTTATATGGTGCCTGTACCCTACAGCAATGGACAGAGAGAGAGAGATTATAAACTAGCACAATGCTGCACTGTAGCAGGACAAGTTTCCATCAGATCATTCCTCTCCCACCCTCTTCAAAACCCCCCCCTCAATTTTTGGGCCTATACTACCGTACTGTGTCTCTTTAATGGGAATCACATCACTAAAATGCCATTTAACACTGAAAATTTAGAGAGAATATCATATAGTTAACACCACAGATCCTATCTAAAGAGGATGTTAAAACAAATCTTGTATAATGCCAAAACAGAAAATATTGTTAGTGAAGCCTCTTCCAGAGTAAATATTTTGTCTATCCACTACGTATCCAAACGACTTATTTTGTGTCAAACATGTTTTATCGGAGTAAACATGTCCACCAACACACTTTTAGGATACTGCCCATTTTACTCTGCATGGACAAATGACATAAGATTTCTAAATACATTTAAATTATATACATATTATAAACAAATAACAAGAGTAATAAATGAACAATCCCCCTTTATTTCAGCCTCAAATATACACAAAGTTATTTTTGCTCAAATGAAAAACATATATTAATAAAACTGGCCTTGATAAGTATTTTACATATTTAAACTACATAATAGCTACATTCCATGAGTTTTCATGTTAATATTCATAACCTAGTGTACATCTAGTACTTTGAAGCTGGATTTCAGGGAGTAAGGTTCTGGGTCACTCGTTTCTCAAAACTAATGATTAAATCAGAAAGTTTAAAGTCTGGAGAGGGACAGCTAACAGAATCTCTCTTATGTGAGTTAGACACATAGTAACACAGGGACACAGATGCGTTTCAAATAAGAGGTTTTCTTAGGTTGGAATTTGTTTTTAAACTTCTACAGGCACCCTAATTAATGCTAATTAATGCTCCTAAATTATGTTCTCTCTTCCTTACATAGAAAAGCCAAACTAAGTGACAGGACTGAAGCGTAGGCCTTGGCTACACTTGCGAGTTACAGAGCAATAAAGCAGCCCCGGGCGCCCTAGCTTGCTCCTCGTCCACACTGGCAAGGCACGTAGAGCGCTCTGACTCCGCAGCTACAGTGCTGCTGGTACTTCATCTTGACGAGTGGAATAATGTTTGCTGCGCCCCCGCTGGAGTGCTGTGGCGCCAGTGTGAACGAGGTGTTGCGTTACTGCGCTGTGATCAGCCTCCAGAAACGTCACATAATCCCCTTAAGTCAAGTGGCCACTCTTGTCATTGTTGTGAAATCGGCTGCAGGAATGCGAAAATGCTGTTTCAAAGCTCCGTTTCGGAGAAGCCGGCTGCTTATCAGCTCCAAGATACGGCAAACATTTACTGTTTGCTATGAGTGAGAGAGGGGCAGGGGGTCTAAACTTACAAGACAGCATGCTGACACACTCAGCACCCCAAAAACCCACTCTCTCTCCTCCCACATACACACAACACACTCCCTGTCACACTCCACTCCACTCCCCTCCCCCATTTGAAAAGCATGTTGCAGTCACTTGCGTGCTGGGATAGCTGCCCATAATGCACCACTCCCAATGCAGCAAATGTGGCCACACCAGTGCGCTTGAAGCTGTCAGTGTGGACAGACTGCAGCGTTTTCCCTACTGCGCTCTACGAAGGCGGGTTTAACTCACAGCACTCTACATCTGCAAGTGTAGTCATGCCCTGTAAATTTTCTGAATTTCACAACTTTTCCCTGTATATTAGCTTTTAGAACAACATGGCTACGTAGGAAGATATTTCTTTGCATTTCTAAAACATGCTCAAAGATTAATATAAATGGAAGTAGCTGGCTTACCACTACATTAAGGTATTATGTCAAGGATTCTCAAATGGGGGTCAGGACCCCTCAGGGGGTCACGAGGTTATTACATGTGGGGGTCGCGAGGTGTCAGCCTCCACCCCAACCCCGCTTTGCCTCCAGCATTTATAATGATGTTAAATATATAAAAAAGTGTTTTTAATTTATGGGGGGGAGGGGTCCGCACGCAGAGGATTGCTATGTGAAAGGGGTCGCCAGTACAAAAGTTTGAGAACCACTGTATTATGTGATAAATGACATGTACAGTTGCACTACGGTTAAAGAGAATTTTATGTATAAAAGAAATCATGAGATCCATATTAAATTTTTATGTGGAACACCATGTTTCAGAAGCCAGACTATTTTGCTATAGCTTCACTCCCACTGTCAAATCTTGTATATAAAAGTAGTACACATTAGGGATTCCATGTATGATACACATCCTGCAATTTTAAATCTGGGGTTAGAAACATATATGCAAATCCTGTTTATATTGCAAATGTGAATTACATAAGAGGGGATCTGAAAAGCACCTTGCATCATCACCATTTCCACTGTATTACAGCACTGATGACTAATGCTACGAGTCTTTCAAGGAGGTCACGGATTCTGTGACTCTCCAGGACCTACACGACTTCTGCAGCCATGGGTGTGGCTGACCCCAGGGCCTCCTGAGCAGCTGAGGCGGCCCCAGGGCCAGCCACACCGGCTGCTGCTAGGGCCGCCCCCTGGAGCAGCGGGGGTGTGCCACCCTCCGCCCCAGAGCAGCAGCTGTGGGAGACCCCGCCCGAGCACCTAAGTTTTAGCCAAGGGTATTTATATAGCACAAGTCATAGACAGGTAAGAGGCTGTGACTTTTTGTTTATTGCCTGTGACCTCTCCATGACTTTTACTAAAAATACCCATGACTAAATCGTAGCCTTACCGATGACACATTTTGGACATGAACAGTTACATTTATGATTTAAAATACCTTCATGTAGGCAAATTCTTTCATGGCAGCCAGGCGGGACAAATAAAGCCACGACATTTTATGTCTGTGCTTATGGTAGTCACGTTTGTTTTTTAGATTACGAAAGGAGGTTCTCCCAAGCCTATGCAGCTTTAATGCAAGCTGTTGCTCCTCTTCATTTGCAACAACATAAATATCTGTAAAACATAAGAAATAATTACATTTATCTGAGAGAATGTGCCAAACAAACTAAACATTTGTGAAAAGTGACTAACTTTCCATGGCACTTTTTGTTCAATTACTACTTATACTATTGCAAAAAGCAAACATATTGCAGAAGAATCAGCAAAATTACCAATGACAGCATACCACCTGTATACTTGAAAAATGAATGTTCTATTAGTCCTAACGTTCCTCGAAAAGCTCTCTAATTCATTAGTTTTTATTTTGGTATGACCTGTGACAACTGTCAGTGTGATAATTAGCAGTTGACACTACTGTGTTTCTGCTTCTTACTCCCAAGCTTTGTAACCAGTCCTTCTTGACATAACAAAACACTGGCATAATACAACAGCTCCAGATGAAGGAATAAATGACAGTGGCCAAGGAACTTCCTGAGGTCTGTCTTCAACAAGGAAGTTAGGCATTTGTGTACATGCCCCAAAGTGCTCCTAATGTAGCACAAACGTTTCCAGTGCTGTTGGGAACATACCTCCTGGGAACAAGTTTCAATAATGCTTCTAGTTGCTCTGATTCACTATGCACCAGTGCAGCAGAAAAACCAGATACTGCACCTACAAAGATGTACTTGGTCCTTACAAGTCAGTCCTGCAATGCTCTTCCTCATCCTTCAGTGACAGTTCTATGCTAAGTCATCTAACAATACACCTCACAACCTCACTGCATTCCATCAAGGCTGAGCGCAACCAAGGTAGTACTTTGCTAATTTACTGTGCCGTAGTATCCCATCTCAGCTGAGAAGTGCTGAAGCTGTCCTATTTTACTCAAAATAGGGAGCTAAGTTTGAAGACACTGAATTGTTTGCAAATGTTTGCATGCTTAGATCTAATATTTGTCCTTAGTATAGAAGGAATTCTGGAAAACAGATATCCTAGTCACGTGCAATTTTTCTTTATTAATACATAACAGAAGATTAGAAAGAACACAATATAGAAGCATCATTGTATCAAAATGAAGGGTGAAATCATGGCTCCACTGAAGTCAAAGGCAAAATTCCCATTGACTTAATGTGTTCAGAATTTCACCTATTTCTCAAAGTTCTTCACAAGATTTTTAAACAAACAGTTCAAATAAATAAAAATTTACCAAAAGTAATACAAATGCCATCTAACTATCATTTCAAATGATTAATCAAATATTAGGAAGAGTGGCCAAAGTGAAGGGAAAATTCTAGTCATTCAAGTAAAGAAAAACTCAAATTTTGCTGATGGCATTGTATGGCATTTCAAACAGAATGACAATGTAGTTCAAGTTTCTGATAAATTAGTGAACTATTTAGCCAGATGCAACTTTACTGGATTACTTGTGACAAGTCCAACATTCAATATAACAGCTATATTTGTTTAAAAAAATATTTTTAAAATTACCTGATTCTTTGCCAACACCCATCTGGTTTCCAACAGAGTTGACAACTTGTCGAGATGACAGAGTTTTCAAGGCAAGGTAATCATACCCTCCGTTAGTTAATCGGTAGCCCTGGACAGCTGAAAAGTATAAGAGAAAATTCTGTGAAATGTTATGCACACATCACCATTAGAATCTTTCTTTTTTAAGCCATCTTTCGGTAGTGTGTGAAAAGTCTCAACTTTAACTGCTCAACTCTAGTCAAGTAAAATTTCCTAAAATGTTCACTCTGAGATGCCAGCTAAATGAAACCAATGGAAAACAATGCATTCACATGAAGATATTGGGGTGGCTGAAGGGAAGGAAGCAAAAATGGTGAGAAAGAAAAAAGGAAATGGAAGGTGATAACTAAAGAGAGGGTGACAGTAAATAATACAGGGTCAAGGATTCCAGGACTTTCTTACACATAATGAAGTGATGGCAAATTTTATATTTTTGTAGTATGAATAGGGGATGTCAAGAAAGAAAAAAAATGCTTTGTTAATTGCTTACATAACCGTTATTCTCTAAGAGAATTACGGATTTACAATATATAAGAGAATGAGATAACTGCTACAAGAGACAGGATTTCCTTTGAACCTGGATAAACATTTGCTAATTGTATTGTTAAAAATACTCAGTGTTTAATGTTTTATGTGCTAATTTAATGTTTAAGTGAATATAAAAAAAATTATATATATCTATATATATATATCTCCTTCACATTTTTGATAGCTTTGCACTATACAAACACAAGTACGGAAAGTGTAACAGCAAGATAGGAACATATACAGAGGGTTTGTTATTGTCACTAAAAATCAAAGTTTGGTTGCTCCAGAGAACAGAACTTATGGAAAGATCAATCAGTACTTATGTAACCCACATAACTTGGTGAAATTGTTGGCAGAATGGAATCTTGTTATAGTGATGCAGTCAAATTACTTCACCAGATCTCTGTTAAGGTTTTTAAAAAGACTATGAATGCTAATTTTTCCAAAAGGAACATACTCTAGTATTTCCACATCCACTCTTTTTTGACAAATTAATTTTGAATTTCTTTCCAAAAAAATCTAAAGATTCAGAATTCTATTTATCAAAACCAAAAGCTCTCTCAGATACATCAAGCATTACAAATAATCATCACACATGTCAATACATTTCATTCTTATTATGGTAGGTCCTACTCCTACAAGACTTACACACTTGCTTAAATGTATGCATTCTAAATTACCCTACTTAAATTGAGGGGTCTACTGGTAGTGTGTAAAGATAAGCATGTGCATATTTTTTTTGCAGGATTAGGACATTACTGTTCTGTATATATTTAGTACTCTGAATTTTCTGAATAATATTAGTATTATGCAGGCATTTTAGCAGCCTCATCATAAAATTGTCCTGAGATTTGCACTTAAATTAGATTGAAACCTGACATTATACATCCTGTAGACTGAATTAACGTCTGGTCTACATTTAAAAGTTTTACCTATGTAACAATTTCTGTTAGGGATCTGATTTTTTTTTACCAGAATAGTTATACTGGTAAAAGCTCTAGTTTGGATGCATTTATGCTGGTATAAAGAAAACATACCAATATAGTTAAAACAGTATAATCTCCTTTGTGCAGATACACTTCTATCAGTATAATTAAAAAGTCTACAACTTTTCGATGTAGACAAGACTTCACTCTCCTCCTATGGCAAAATCTCTCTTAACCATGATTGGCTCTCCCCAGACCAGGGGTTCTCAAACTTCATTGTCACCACACTTTCAACAAAAATTACTATATGACCCAAGGAGGGGGGACCAAAGCCTGAGCCCGGCCAATCCCTGCCACCCTGGGGTTTTGCATTTCAGTGTAATTGTGAAGAAATAAATGTGTGCACATTGGATGACTATGCTAGAATGGACAGAGAGATTATTGTGGAATTGCACAGTCTGAGCACGTTTGGGCATTATGTTTAGGTAACAAGGCATTTGAACAGATACAAATGTTGTCTTCACTGATAATTTCTCGGATTTTTAACGATTGCATTGACAGGAAATGCACTTGAGCAACTTTAACTCAAAGCTAACTATGATTTTCATGGGGATTCATACTCACTTTTAGTTCGTTCATAAGCTAGGAGTTTGTGTTTCACTAACTCTCTCAGAATTTTGTTACATCCTCCATGTTTCAGGCTGGCTATGGAGGCAATCAAGCTAGCAGGGACTATTTCATGATTCTTCATACCCATCTCCACCTGAAATAATAAATGAAAGACATAAATGAACCCTCCAAATAGACAATGAAATAATAGTTCCCTACATCAAGCCTAAACTTACTTTCCATACATACATTGACATAAACATATTGTACTGCGCAAAGTTTCTTTAATTTAACTCAGCCTTTAAATTTGTTTGCTTGACTAGAAGTATTGACAGAGTTGTTTGAAAAGAAAATCTATAATGCAAATGGAGAATCTCTTGTTTAGGGAATGTAACATAAGGCCTCTAACATATGTAAGGCTTGAGAAGTTTAACAGAAACCTACTGTCCTAGACAGAAAACAAACTATGAACTAGAGGCCAATATGAGGGATGTATAGATAGAGGGCAGGACAAAAGGAGCGCTGGATTTCCCAGTAGGATAATCCCTATGGGATCATGACCTAAGTTCTAAACCTTTCTGTTGCTTTCTTGGGACAGCAAATAAAACGTTAAATGCCAGGCTTCTTGTAAGCTTCAATGTCCTGCTCCTGTTGGGAAATCAGAGCAGTAGTCAAGAGTCATCTTGAAGCTACAGAACCTACGGGTCAGAGAAATTGCTTTATTTCTCACACACTACAATGATAGGTGCAATAGAAGGATTCAGATAGATAGATCTGTCTATGTTACATTTTTTGGAAGATTTCCCGGTAACAATGGTAAAAGTGCCAGAGTAGATAAGGCATAGGTGGCCACTGGCATTTTAAGCACATGTGTAGTAGGCCTGCTCTAAGAAGGATTAGATGATGCAGTGGTTAGAGAATCAGTGGCCACCAGGAGCCATGTCTACTTTAACATGCCCACTATTACTATCACAGGTAGAGCTGAAATGATGGACAATTTTTACGGGGAAAAAGCCTAATGTTGACACCCCCATACTTCAGTAAGTGACTGGAAATCCAGCTCTGCTTAACCAGGTAATGAGTGCCTTTCATCGGAAACGATTCCAATGCCTTTAAGTTGCTTCAAAGACCTAAACACAGCTGCACTTACGATAGAACATAGCAGCTGCAGCAGCAACACCACACAACAATGTACATCAGGATATTAACAGTGTGGACCAACCAAAACCTTTACATTGCCTGTCTGACACAGCCGGGGGGATCCAATTAGCAGCAGTAGTTACAAAGCTTGAATTTAACACCCCCGAACTCACTGGTCGCCAGCGGAGACGTCTGAGCAGAACCAGGGCACCTCACTCCCCTGTCACCGAGCAGTGACTAGTTCCACACTCTGATTTTCCATTGTTACCGATAGCACCAGCCCCACCTCCCGCAGAGGCCCGGCCTGCCCGCCAAACACCGACCCTGCCCGACCTCGGGAGCGCGGACAGACAGATGAACGCAGCCAGCGTGGCTATTCCCTGCCGCGTTCCCTCTCCCACTGTCCCGCGCTTGCGGCCCGGCCCGGGTGCCTGCTTACCGCCGTCAGGACTCTGAAGTGGTCGCGGGACAGGTAGCGGAGCATCACCACGTTCAGCCGGCCCATGGTCTCGGCCTGCTCCCCCCGTGCCACCCGACAGACGAGTGGTACTTGCCGGGGCCACAAGGAGCCGAGTCCCGGAAGCCCGTGTCCCAGTTCTGCTGCAGTCCGCGTGCGCAACCGCCGGGAAACGCAGAAGGTGGCGTTACTTCCGCCAAGCTGTGCAGGTCAGGCCCTAGCAGCTGCATAAACATTTATAGTCCTGATCGGATATACGTCCGCGTAACCTCGCGACAGATCCATTATAGAATACCCGTTCTCTAGGGTTGCTTTCGTAGGGCCAGGCTGAATTAACTGACTACCCTTTTCGCTCTAGGTTGTTTTACCATGAGCCGTATATGTATCTGCCAGGATCGGCTGCCTAGGAGAAGCGTCCTTCTGCGAGACATAGAGCAGTAACTCGTTTCCCGAAGCAGAGGCTCTATCCCAGCGCCTGACCACTGCACGGGCACTCAGCTCCAGAGGCCGCCACCGCGGACACCTGCCGCTGCCGCGGGTAACTTACAAAGTTACACCCCCAACTGACGACCAAAGTGGCAATGCCGGCTGCAACTGCGCCTGCGCCACCAGGGTAGTGTGCGCCTACTGCGTCTGAGCGTTGGGTTTGGAGGGACAAGTGGGCGGATGCTCAGTGGGCTATCGCGCGTGGGGTGGAGGGTGTGTTATCCGAACCCGTGTCAAATAGGTGGTTGCCCTGGAGCAGCGTCCGTCTGCACCGCGCCTGGCCCCTTCTAGGGTTGCCAGAAACTATCTCAGCTCAAGATTGCTGAGGTAGTGATGCCAACAAACTCCCCGTTTGCTTTCTCTGCGTGGGCATACGTGTGACTTGCATCCATAAAAACATCAACAAAAGTGCTTTTAACTTAAACTTTACTTATACGTTATAAAAGTTATTAGTGTGTCTTGGGTCGATATACCATTTGTATTGATTAAATGAGCCATTTCCCCATCTAGTCAGCCAACAGAGAAGCATCCAGGCAGTCCTGCTCCATAGGACTGATATATCTTGCAGGTGAATTTCTGCAACATTTGCTGTTTTAGTTGAAAGTTCCTACAGTGCTTCCCCCCTCCACTGCAAGCCATATTTCACACACAGCAGGCTTTCTAATGACCTTCTTGCAGTTGATTTTTGTTTTGTTTTCATATTAGTTGCAGTACTGAAAGTTCTTTTCACCATGCCATTTGAAATAAGTAGAGTTAATATGGTCAGGGCAAGCTGTGCAACATAATCAAATCACCTATCTTCTGCAGCGTCCATACCATCAAACACTTGAAACCAGAAAGATGATTAGTCATCTTTTGTTCCACCTTTTGTTTGCTGAGTTGCACTATTCCTTCTCAGTCTGCTGTATTTCTTGACATGATGTGGCACTGCTGTGCAAGGCCAGTGATTGGGCTTTTAACTTGTAGACAGTGCCTCTTTTGGGTGCAGCGTGTCCAGTTTTTCCAATACAGTAGAACCTCAGAGTTATGAACACCTTGGGAATGGAGGTTGTTCATAACTCTGAAATGTTCATAATTCTGAACAAAACATCGTTCTTTTGAAAGTTTACAGCTGTACATTGACTTAATGCAGCTTTGGAACTTTACTATGTGGAACAAAAATGCTGCTTTTAACCATCTTAATTTAAATTAAACAAGCACAGAAAGTTTTCTTACCTTGTCAAATCTTTTTTTAAAACTTTCCCTTTATTTTTTTAGTAGTTTACATTTAACACAGTACTGTATTTGCTTTTTTGTCTCTGCTGCTGCCTGATTGCATACTTCAGGGTCCAAATGAGCTGTGTGTTCGTAACTCTGAGGTTCTACTGAATTTGAATATTTGTTGGTAGTCGACTCCTCAGTTTGTGAGCCATCTGCACCAGCATAGCCTTGTACTTCTCCTTCACTGTCTGAACAGCTGCTTTGTCTTTCAGAATATAAGCTTAGCAATTGAAATCATAACCCGGTTATATGACAGAAGTGGGCATGATGTATGCTTCATAGTTAAAATGGCCAATTCTGAGGAGGGAATTTTCTTTAGTTGACTCGGATTAACTATACTTTTCAACCCTGACTGACAGTACATCATTAGATCATGAAAAAGCTTGTAGGGACTGCCTGGCTCCAATTGGAACAGTGTTGATTTTGTTAAGGTCACAAAGGGTTGATTTCAAGAAGATTGGATAAAGTTTGTTGTGTCAGCCAACATGTTACTAAGGAGACTTGCTGTGTAACAGCATTCTGAGTCCTTTTACAATTGAAAGTGTAAGTTAAGAGCATCTCACTTCTTCCAAATAGTGGAAATGCATTCTCCTTGACTGAGCCACCTAGTTGCTGCTGGTTGAATCACCGTTCTTGGTTCAGGACCTTCTGTAATCTTGTACAATTCCCTGTACAAAAATTTTCTCTTTGAACGATGTGAGAACTGATTATTATGCATAAGGAAATCCAGATCTGTTGGTAATACTTCAGTTGATTTGTTTCCAACTAGGTTTAGAAAATGGCAAAAGAACTTTACCAGGATGAGATCATAGAACCACAGGGTTAGAAGGGACCGCAAGGGTCATCTAGTCTAACCCCCTGCCAAGATGCAGGATTTATTGCGTCTAAACAATCTAAGACAGATATCTATCCAGCCTCCTTTTGAAAACCTCCAGGGAAGGAGCTTCCATAACCTCCCTAGGCAGTCTGTTCCATTGTCCTACTGTTCTTACAGTTAGGAAGCTTTCCCTGAGATTTAATCTAAATCTGCTATGTTGTCGTTTTGCTTCTTGTCCTGTGGCACCTTTTCTTTCAGTATCTTGTATACTGAATGGTTGCATCCAGCTATAATTGGCATTTTCTACACCGATGCCAATATACTTTTTCAAGTCCAGGTCATCTTCTTTTAAAGCTTTATGCAAAGACTGCACTAATGAGCCTGCATCAGTGTCAGTTACTGAAATAACACTGAAGAAAATTGACATCATTTTTCTTTTTGAAAAACTAGAGTATCTAATCACAACAGAAAGAGTCTTTGTAAGTATTATACCAGTGTTCTCATCAATTAGAAGTGAAAAGAAGCTGTCGCCAATATCTGCTAGTAGTTCCTTGTGCAGCTCAAAACATTAATGAGTGCTGTACATTTGGTAGATGAAGTGCAAATGTCTATAATACCTTAGAGTTAGGATTCAGCGATGTGATTAGCTCTCTTAAATGGTCAACTGCTTGAGCTGAGCTGTGCAGTGCTATATAGCAAGCCAGTTTTAATTCTGCTGCTTTTTATTCCCTGAAATATTCTAAATGAAATACTGCTGAATTGATTGTAGTTCACTTGGTGCCTTCTCTTTTTGGGTGTTTGAAATATGCTTCTGCAATTTGAAGTGTGCCAGAAGATTCTTCTAAGCATGCAGAGTGCAGTGACACAGCACAGAAAGCCACAGAGGCATTCCCTTGCACAGGCCACAGCCAACGTACAGAGAATAATCATGAAAACTCACAGTCAAGTTAACAATGAAGCAATTTTGTTCAAAACTAAGTTTGTACCAATAAAATAACCTTCCTCCTCCCCAACTCCCCTTCCCCCCAAGAAAGAACAATTTATAATGATTGTTTGTTTTACTGACAAATATTTGTAAAAGAGATGTAAAACATCTCAGAAAAGAAATTTTGGGATGGATATGTTGTTGAATCAAGCCGATTGTCTACACATTTTAAGAAATTAAATTAGAAGCACAAAAATAGTGCAAACAGTAATATTTGTCACTAGAAACAAAAAACATTAAATAACTACAAAGATGTATACTTTTAATTCGGGATCTGCTTCCCATTTCTTGGTGCGTTGCTGTTGATGTTGAGCAATTGTTTTTTGATGCTGCCTTTAGGGATGTGTCTATATGGGAGTATGAGTACACTTCTTTAACAAGTTTCATTCCCATAACAAAACTAAGGACTCTGACTGGAGGCCCTCTCTGGGCACTGTCTTTACCACGCTTATTCCCTGGAGAATATTCCACACCCCAATACTAGGTGCTGCTTTCACACAAATAACAACCATGAACAGCATAGCTAGTTTCTAGGTAGTGGCAGCAGTTCTTGGATTAGCAGATCTCCTGGAAAATGTCTGAATTAGTTTGTCTCGCTCACTCCACTGCAGATAATCTTATTCTTCCTGGATTGATCTTTCGCTCCTCAAAACTTCTTTAAAATGTTTTTCCTGTTATGCTGAACTGGGTCTTTGCTTTACAAGCATCTAAACTCTAGCAGAGGAGATTGCGTGGGCTAAAGCACATTTCTTTGGCAATTAGGAACCCTGAACTTCCTTTGTATTGCAAAGCAGCTGCACAAAAGGAAGACTGATGCCCAGTTTGTTCCAGAGGAGCTGCTGTGAGCTAGAAGGTTAAAACACTTGTAAAGTTCAGAAGTTGGGGCAGGAATCCAGAGAGATTAGTGTAAGACTAGAAAGAGAGGCCCAAGGCAACTGCTACTTGGCACAACTAAGATCCCATCATACTTTATCAGATTAAAGGTTATACACTTTAGTTTTAGTGCCACATGTGAAATTCAGTCTTTAATGAGCTTTAATAAAACAGTACAATTTAGATGTGCAGCCCACCTGGAAAACTTAGGTTTTCTGGCAATACAATCCTGGCAATATCTACAGGAAAATGATCTATCTGTACCTTGCAATATAGAGAGAAGGCTCTTCCAAATATTGGTTTAATATGGGTCAGTGAAATTGATCTAGTAATAGTTACCTCTGTAAGTTGTTGAGAAGCATATGATTACACAGGAAAGCAAAGTTTTCCCCTTACACATGGGAGGTATTGGAAGAGCAAATATACAAAGGAGTCAAACGTCTGTCTGATCATAGGCTGACTTAAAATATGAATAAGGAACCAGGAAGTTTATATGAAAATGTGAGCCCATTGAAATGGAAGGCTTCAACCCATTGAGTTGTTTAGATTCACATTAGTGTGTAGAATTATTATGTTTGAGAAGAAACCCGGAAAGCACATTACACTGAATATACACCTGGTGAAGGAGGAGAAAGGAAATTTTGAGTAACCTGTTTGTTACCTTGTGCACTTAGGCAGCATGTGGAATGAGAAAGAACATTACGCATTTAGCATCTACCATTTGTAGATGGTACTTTCCAAAAATGTGTTTTGTGTGTTAGTGAGAGGTTTCGCTATTATTTGTAAACATTAATATAAATTAAAATATTAGACAAGTCATTAAGTGGTTCCAAAATCTACTTCAGTGGCTTTATGATAGTTAACATTTTTAGTGATGATCTGGAAGAAAAATGTGAAGTCACTTCCAATAAAGTTTGTAGATGGCACAAAGAGAAATGCAGTGGCGAATAATATCGAGGACAGGTCATTGTTAGAGAGCAATCTGGCTCACTTTGTAGAATGGTGTGACAGACCGTACCCTTATATTCCCCCCTTGCATACTATTGTAATAATCTTTATACAAAGTATGCCCTGTGAAGTATCATTTAAAAACCATAAAATCTGTGTGGCAACATTG